TTATTATGTGGTGCAGTTGGTTTTATTTGATTTTTGGTTTTTGGTTTTTTTCCAGTACCAGGAATTGAACTCATGACCTTGTGCTTACCAGGCAGGCACTGTGCCACTGAGCTAAACCCACAGCCCTTTTTTTGTTTTTAAAAAAATTTTATTGGTACATTTTTGCAGTACCTAATGCCTATATTAATTTTGGGACATTGGTACACGTATAACAGATCTCAATTCTTTTTTCCCTTTTCCCTCTACTCTTGATTTAAATTTCATTTCTTTTAGCTAGTATAAGATTCATTTTTGAATAAATCTTTATCATGTTAATCATCATAAACAGACTAACAGCCAGACTACAGGCCAAAAACATAAAATGTGTAAGACAATTATACTAAATGAAAGTGCACTTTTAGATGTATTGGCCATGCTGGATTATAATAACTCTCTTTCCTCTCATTGTTTATCTCTTGTTTTGCACTTTAGTTACACACTGGGCTTCTCAAATAAAAGAAACCATGCGATGTTTAAGCTTGTGTGTCTGATTTACTTCACTTAACATTATGATCTCAGCTGGGCATGGTGGTGCACAGCTGTAATCCCAGCACTCAGGAGGCTGAGGCAGGAGGATTGTTGCCAGTTCATGGCCACCAGGGCTAAAAAGTGAGTTCAAGGCCAGCCTGAACTGCATAGGGAGACCCTGTCTCAAAAAGACAAGCATTAACATTATGGTCTCAAGGGGGACTCATTTTCGTACAAATGACTTGAATGTATTCTTTTTAATGGCAGAGTTGTAATTCACTGTGCATGCATACCATATTTTCTCATGTTTAGCTCAGAATAAACAATTTTCTTACATCTTTTACATCAAACTGTTATTTTATGGTGATTTTCAAAGGCAAAGCTGGAAAAGGACAAGAATAGAAAGACCTGGTGGGAAGAAGCCTTTCAAGAGTTGAGAGGAAGCTCAGCATTTTAGAACCAGATCAAATCTTAAGAAAAGAACCAAGTTGGCAGAGATGAGGCAATCACATTGGGTCAGCTACAGAGTCAGTCTGACTGGCCCAAACAGTACTTTTGTAAACATTAAAAAATTTCACATCTGTAATCCTAGCACTGTAGAAGGCTGAGAGAGGACCAATTTAACTTCTCAAATCCAGCCTGGGAAACTTAGCAACCTAGCTAACCAAAAATAAATAAATAAACAAATTTTTTAAAAAATCTAAGCATGACTTTTAAAGAGCCCCCTGGTTTTCTTGCATTCCATTTTTCAAACTCATCCAGGTCAATAATACAATTTAACAACTCCAGGAGAGTTGCAGTCACAATCCTGTCATCTCCTCTCCTCTGCTCCTCCCCACCTCTCCCCGCAGCACTGGGCATCTCCCCTGCATTTGGCTTTCCCACAGTCCTCCCTGGCACAGTTTTCCTAGAGTCAGCTCAATAAAATGTACAAGCTTGTGGGTCCTTCTACTTCATAAATGCACTCCATCACCAATGACTTTGTCTGCTTGCCTTTCAAAGGAACACAAACTAGTCTAAAAGCTGAAAGACTGCAAAACAATGTTCCTCTTTATTAAAAAGAAAGCTACAGAGGCAGATTATTAAGGACCCAGTGCTAGGTTTTACTTCTGTCTAATTAGAAGGAGATTCATTTGCAAACAGTATCAGAAACCAAGCAATCCTCAAGAACTTACTTTTGTTTTTTTCATCAAATCCTGATGGAAACTAAGACACCTACATCAAAAGGAAAAGATACTGTGCCCAGATGTTTGGTTCAATGAGCTTCTTAATAGCAACTGAAGAGCAGTTGTTGTAATGGAAAAACTTGCATATAAGATGATTTTAATTTTTAAAACAGCAATTTTTCTGGTATGATGGGTTTCAAAAACCCAAGGTAGGGGCAGGGAAAGTGGTAGAACTCTACACCTACAAAATGTACAATATGTACAATTTAATGAACCATTCTTCTAAGACCTGAATTCAGAGAAGCGGTGTAATTGTTTAAGCAAAATCCTCTTGATAACACTGCTCACGGTATTTCACTGTGGAACAGTGAGTACCATTTCACAGACTGATAAATTTGTCTGATGAGCAGTTATGAAAGATACTTGCTGAAGCCAACCCACAGCTTTAAATGAAAGGTTTTCTAGGACTCCATCTGCACAAACACATGTTATTCTGTCTCTAAAGAGCGTGTGCTCATTGGCAAACAGGATCATGGGAACCTCCTCTTTCACTATGAAAGGGAAGAAAAACTTACAGGCATGTCAGTTAATCCGCGTGAAAGGATCAGAGGAAAGAACACAGGCTTACCTGGCATCACCTGGAGTGAAATGGTTTTTTTGATATCGTTGAACCATCCGGGAACCTCGATACGGCAGCAGTACTGGCCACTGTCACGCGTGTTTACATTCTGGATGGTCAAGGACACGTCTCCTTGACTAATCTTCCCACTTAGCTGATAACGCCTGTCTTTCTGGTAGGTGACCTGGTATCCATTTGTATTGACAAGTGTACGGGAGCATTTGGAAGGAGGACAGGGCCCTCGGCCCCAGCACATATAATGGGCTCCTCTAGACACCGAGTAGGTGCAGGGGAGTGTGACCGACTGCCCCAGCACTGCATTCACTTGGGTAGAAAATACAACACCTGAAATAAAGAGAGGAAAAATGAAGAATGAGACCTCAACATCTGCCTCATTTTTGTCACTTTTTAATATATTTGTTCTTATTACTTTCTTTGTGTCTTTTGTAAACATGCATTTATAGACCATCTTTTTTTTACCAGACCATTGAAACCAGTCTCATGAATGCAAGAGAAGGGCTCCACTACCTAGCTATTTGTCCAGACGGTCATATTTGGAGACAGGGACTCACTAAGTTGCCTGGCATTGGCCTCAAACTTGACCTATTCCTGCCTCACTCTCCCTAATAGCTGGGAAATCAGGTGAGCTCCACCATGCCCAGCCAGAGCTTACACTTTACATCTTAATACTGGAAACATTTTTCTGTTAGCACATTGTTTATCAGTATGATTGCTTAACGGATACATGTGTAGATAAGGCAGTATGTGGTAGTGTATGATATTCGTGTTGCTCCTCATTTTTACCATCATACAGAGCACAGCAAAATATTTCCATGACAAAACTGCTATATATTTAGGTTTCCTAGAGGAAAGATTGCTAAGAGAAATTACCAAGAGGGGAATTTACAAGTATGTGCCACCAGGCCCAGCTCACAGGGCTTTAAAAAACGCTAACAGCAGCAATGGGTGTAGAGTGAAAAGTCCCCCTTCCACTCCAGGGTCCCAGTCCTCCCCTCCAGATTCAATTTCTGTATCAGTTCAAATACATTTTTAAAAAATCAAAACTAGGCAGGCACACTGGGGCGTGCGTGTAATCCCAGCACTCTGAAGGCTGAGGCAGGAGGATCACAAGTTCCACACCAGCCTGGGCAATTTAGAGACTTAGTAAGACCCTTTAAAAAAAAAAAGAACGAGCTAGTGATACCGCTCAGTGTGAAGGTCCTGGGCTTAACTCCCAGTATGAAAACCTAATGTCAATCCTAGTACATTTAAACTTCAAGTTTGGGCCAAGGACATAGCTCAGGGGAAGAAGTGCCTGCCTGGCAAGCGCAAGGTCCTGAGTTCAATTCCCGGTACCAAAAAAATAAAATAAAAATAAATAAACTCCAAACTTTTAATTTTCATTGCATTTTAAAAGGGCTATTGTAAATGAAATTATTTAATTTCTAACTGTTCCACCCACCAGCAAAAGAAGAGGCAATGTTTGGTTTAAAATAGTATTGACTGAAAAGCATAAATGGAGTAAACTCTTTAGGAATCAAATGTTTAAAGAATTTATAATACTTCCAGGAGGAGCTGAGGCTTATTATAGGATGTCAAAAAACAAAAAAAAGAAACCAAATTATAAACTTCAAATTAAATAAGTACCCATGTGTGGCTTGTGCATATCTGTGATCCTAGTACTCAGCAGCCTGAGATAAGAGGATTCCAAGTTGACCCCAACATGGGCAACTTAGTGAGACTGTGCTTCAAAATAAAAATTAGAAATAGTGAGAAATATAGCTCAGTGTTAAGGCTTTGGGTTCAATCCTCAGTACAAAAACAAGATAGAAAGGGAGAGGAAGGGAAGGAGGGAGAGAGAAAGTTATTTTTAAGAGAAATCACTCAACACGGAGTGAAAATGGCAAGAAGCACAAAAGGACCCAGGGAAAGGATGGCTCTCCGCTCACACAGGGTCTGCGTGGACACATCCACCCGCCCCTGTCCTGTTTCAGTACAAATCGCAGCGCGGGCTCCACCCCTCAGCTCCCTCCCTTAGCCAGCAGTCCTGGAATTCACAGCAGCGAAACAATTGCGCGGGAGCGAGATTTCATCCCGGTTCTCTGCTCACTGCGCAGCCCGACCCGTCCTGCAAAGCCCAGGATATCCGGCTTCCTCCGCCACCACCAGCCCGCAGATGCGCCCGCCGCTCACTCACCTGTCTGAAGTAGGAGGAGGCCTAAGGCGAACACCTGAGGCTGCAGGATCATGTTGGCCCGGAGATGTCCGCACTGC